GACCCTTATCTCATGAGGAACATGCCTCTGTTCTTGGCTTCTTCTACTTCTCCCTTTGTCTTGCTTCCCTTCCTTTCTACCATGCAGCCTTTCTCCTCTTCTTACCGGCTGTTGATCCTGTTCATTTCCTCGTTCTTCCATTTCCAAATTGTAACATTATGCTGTGCTCTGTCACTACATGCTTGCCAACTGAAGGTTCATGAGATGCACCTCTGAGCTATTTTAGAGAATTGAGTGATCATTGGTCGATCTAATCCCAGCCAACATGTCCACGTGGGCCCCACATGGGTTTTATGATGGGCCAAATCATGGGTCCCAATAGGTTGGCCCATCTTGGACCCATCTTATTTTGTCCTCAGTTTCCACATTGGTCCCCTGTGGGGCAACCCATGTGGGTGACCGATGGGTCTACAATGGGTGCAACAAGGGGATGTAGTGGGTAGAATATATAGGATTTATCTGGGCCCCAAACAACATATTGTATATGGGTCCTTTCTGGGTGTTTGATGGGTACAGTGTAGGGTTCTGTGTCAGAAGCATAAATGGAATTGCTGCGGTCCCCATCAGAAGCAGACCACATGTGTTTTATATGGGTATTTACTGAGTGTAATATAGTAAAGTGAAGGGCTGTTAATACATGAATGTGGATAGCATGTGATTATTCCTATGCTTTAAGATCTGACCTGAAGGACTGCTTGGTAACCATTTTGTTACCTAGGGTAAAGTACATGGTTCATTCATGTGGAAAAAGGAAAATAGTGAAAGTGTTTTTAAACCTTGTATCAAAATTTATTACTATAATAAACTCAAAACATTTCAGTTTTTAACAGGATTTTTAATTACAAATCAGTTCTTTTTGTACAATTCCACTTAATAAATCAGAACTACTAAATAACTAGGTATTGCTTTCTGGTCACTTCACAAAGTTAACATATAATAGTAATAACAAAATCTGAATATTTTTTAATTAAACAATAAGCTTAATTCACTACACACAATTACTCCTTCTACTTTTAACTATCAAGAATGTGATAGTGATAAAAAAAATTTGTGAACATTGTGAAGACTTAATTGGTTTTATCCTGTGCACTGCGTTGTGCTCTGAGAGCACG